ACCCATCTATCCGTCCCTATACCCATGTTTGCTTTCATTGACAACTCAGTATTGTATTTACAAAGGGGTTCATATTTGTTGTTTGTACTGCCCATGTAAGGAGTTGATGCTTTTGAGTTGTGTTGAAGAAGAAAATTGAAATGAAAGTTCTGTGGACTGCCAGAAGACCTAACTAATCCGTCCTGGACAAAGTGCAGCCAGAATGCTCCTTGAAAGCAAGAATGACCAGACCTACTTTGGTCATGTTGTCAGAAGGGACTATCCCTAGAGAGGGATATCATGCTTGGTGAAGTGAAGGGTCAATGGAAAAGGGGAAGACCCTCAATGAGATGGACAGACACAATGGCTGCAACAGTGGGCTCAGGTTTAGCGAGGATTGTGAGGGTGGCACAGGACTGGTCAGTGTTTCGTTCTGTTGTACACAGGGTCACTATGAGTTGAGCTGACTCAAGGGCACCCATCAACAACAACAACAACACTCCTTATCCTTTTACTCTGCTGTCAACACTTGTTGTGTGCCACTGAGTCCATTTTGACTCTTAGTGACCCTATAGGACACCCCATAGGCCAGGGTAGAACACGCCCATGGGTTTTCTAAGCTATATTCTTTATGGTAGCATAGTGCCTAAGGCACTTGACTGCTCACCAGAAGGCTGGCGGTTCAAACCCACTAGCCACTCCTCGGAAGGAAGGTTGGGCAATCCTACTTCCATAGTGATATTGCCTCGGAAACCCAAGGAAGGGTCGCTATGAGTCGGGGCCGACTCGATGGCAAACAACAACAACAACAACAACATTCTTTATGGTAGCAGATTGCCAGGTCTTTTCTCCCACTGAGCTGCTGGTGGGTTCCAACTATGGACCTTTTGGTTAGCAGCTCAGCGCTTAACCATCATGCCACCACAGCTCCTTCACAGCACTTGCCATAACTGAATATTACATTATTTATCTGCCCATATGTTCACTTTCATTTTCTTCCATTATAAGGTAAGCTCCTTGAAGACAGCAACTTACTTTTGTTCACCGCTATATACCCAGCTCCTAGAGTAGTACCTGGCCCACTACAGCTTCTCAATAAATATGGAGTAAATGAATTGTGAGCTAGTGGGTTTCATCTCAATGAGTCGTAGAGACAACATGTGCTGTAAGGAATGGGATCTGACCAGAGAAGTCACAGAGCACATGCATCCTGGAAGATGCTGGCTTTGCACTAAAATTATGTTTGTGTTCTCTCTCGCCAAGAAGAGTGTGAGCTCCTTACGGGTGGGGATCACCTGTTCTCATCTATATCCCTGGTGCCCAAAACAAAGCTTGACATAGAGTAAGAACTCAATAGGTATTTATTGAATGAATGAAGAGAGCTGGACTCTAGGATGGAAAAGATGAAGAATTCTATGCCTCAGTTGGAGAGAAGAGGCACCATACCTGAACTGTGTTTTCCTCACTCTGGATCCTAACACATACCCTGACACCTATTTTGCTATTTCTGCCCCTGCCTGGCATGAAAACCAACCACCCCAAGGAGAAGCCCCTGGAGCTGCTACAGGGGCTCAAGATCGAGAAAACGGGTAAGGGTCTGCCTTACCTGTTGGCTGTCGGGTCCTTGCTTCTTTCAGGTAGTAGAGTGCTTTGTCATAGTCTCCTAGGTGGTAGAAGGCCACACCAGACCGGTAAAGGGCTTTGAAGTTCTCCCCTTCCTTTTTCAGAACTTTGAGGCAATACTCCTTGACTCGCTCGTAGTTCACCAGCTCAGCCTGGAGCAGGCAGGCTGTGGAAGAAGAAAGAAAGAATGGGAAATGCCATCAACACAACAATGGTGGCAGGCTCTGTGGGTCTCTCCATGGTTCCTTCTCCCAGAGAAGGTTTAGCAATGTGGTGTGGTAGTTGACACCATGGGATTTGTCATCAAAAGATCCTGGGTCCCAGGACCAGTTTCATCAATAACAAGCTGTGTGACATTGAGCAAGATAACAAGCTTTGCTAAGCTATAAAAGGCAATGATAACAACCATGGCTGATAGTTGTTGAAGGGGCAGGGGTGCTTCAGTGGTAGAATTCTCTCCTTCCTTGTGGGAGACCTGGGTTGGATTCCCAGCCAATGAACCTCAAGTGCAGCCACCATCTGCCTGCCAGTGGAGGCTGGCATGTCGCTATGATGCTGAGCAGGTTCAGTGGAGCTTCCAGACTAAGGCAGACTAGGAAGAGAGGCCTGGTAACACACTTCTGAAAACCAGTCGGTGAAAACCCTAGGATCATAATGGTCTGACCTGCAATTGATCATGGGCTCCATTGTACATGGAGTCATCTTCAGTCAGGGGCTTCTTCAGACAACAATAATATATTACCTGTGCCAGATGCTTCTCTCATTGCTTTACATGTACTAGTTTAAATAATCCTCAAAACACTAGGATTGAGGTACAATCATTATTCCCATTTTACAGATGAGGAAGCTGAGGCTCAGACAGGTTAAGCAATTTTCCAAGGTCACTTGAAAGCGGCAAGACTGGGATTTAAATCAAACTCATCTGGCTCCAGAACCCAAGTTCTTCCTAATTGAGTTGTTGGGGGATTACATAAAATAATGGCTATAAAGGACTTAACATGGAGCTTGGCTCATTGTAAGCACTCAAAAAGTGTTAGTTGATACCATTACAACTCTTTTCAGCTCTCCCATTGGTGACATTTACCTCTGACTTCCTTCAAGTTCCCTTTTGTCCTCTGTCATGTTTGCCTCCGCAGTTCCCGACAGCAGGAGCCTTCTGACAGGTGAATGACCAGCCTCATACAGGGCACTGAGATCTGAGAGGCTGGAGCGGGATGCTCCTCGGCAAGAGGAAGCCGAGGATGCCAGATGCTTGTCCCATTTCTTTACATGTATTAGATGTCCAAGGAGCTCTGGTAGCGTAGTGCCTAAGGCATGTGACTGCTAACCAGAAGGCTGGCAGTTCAAACCCACCAGCCACTCGGAAGGAAGACTGGGCAATGTACTTCCATAGAGATAATGCCTCAGAAACCCAAGGAGGGGTCGCTATGAGTCCAATTGACTGGACAGCAGTGAGTATTAGGTGTCCAAAGTGGGGCTCCCTTTCCATTCCGTAAACAGCCATTGCTGAGTACACCATCTCCCTTTACTGCTTGCTCTCACCAACTCTGAGCCACGGGGCAATCTGGGCTAAGGAAGCTTGCACGACCCTGGAGAGTGAGCTTGGTGAGCGCCTCCTGCAGTCTTGTGCCCCAGGGGCCTCATGTGCTCATCCTAATCCCTGCCCTCTGAGCCACTTCTGCCTCCATTCACTCACTCAACTATTTAGTAGGCATTGACTACAGGCAAAAAGGGAAGTTATACATTTTGGAGGGATTTCAAAAAAAGGGAAAAAGGCACCTATCTGCCTCTTCAAAGTGATTAAGAGCAGGGGTTTGGGAGGCTAAACTGCTGCGCCTGCCCTGATGTGGCTGGCTGGGTGGGGAAGACACCCATGCTCTGGCCCTATCTATGCTGATTTTTCTCCCCTCAGATGCACTGCCTCTGGATGAAGGCCAATCACGCATTTTAATTTAAAAAAAAAAAAAGGTAAAATCTTATTTATTGTGGTAAAATTATATAGTATAAAATTCACCATTTTCACTGTCTTAAAGTGTACAATTCAGCAGTGTTTAGTCCATTCATAAAGCTGTGTAACCACCACGACTCTCTAGTTCAAGAGCATTTTCATCACCCCAAAAGGAAACCGTGGACCTAGTAAGCAGTCAGGTCCCTTTCTCGCCTTCTGACAACCACTAGACTGATTTTAATCTTACAAAGAATCTAACTTCATTGTTTTGACCCTTTAAATAGCTTCCTAAGAATCTGATTTGCCAAGCTTCTTTTTAAGTGACCAGACTTTTCACTGCACATTCTGGACAAACAAACAAAAAACATCCTTTTATAGAGTGAGGAAGAGATGCGCCACACAGTCTCTCAGGCTGAAGGTGTGAGAACCAGGAAGTGCAAGAGAATCAGTCCAGATCTAGAAACTGACCCATCAGGTTTCACTGGCCGCAGGGCAGGAAGCCAGCTGTCAACAGCAGCCACAGACTGGCAAGGAGGGGGACTGATCTTGGCCTTTGTTTTGTCAGCAAAGGGCCTTCAGTAAGGTCTGTTAGCTTTGTATGTGTGTGTGGTGGGGGAATGCTAACCTCTTGGGTGCCCGTGGGTCCCTGTGAACCATACTGTGCTGATGTGCCAGGGGTTTATCACACTAAGCTGATGCCACAAGCTCACGTCCCCTCTCCTCCCTCAGCTGTGGGTCTTGCACCCTCTAGCCGCCTCTTTGATGCAGACTGGGAGGAGATTCTATGAAGACCTTCCTGCCTGTGAACATTACTGGTTGCTACCTGTGTGGGACTGCACTCCAGCATCTGTTCCCAGAGCTACAGGATTTCCTGTCTGTGGCCTCCATGTGCCCTGTCTGAAGTCCTCTTGAGCAAGGCTGAGCAGTGGCCCTCTTCCCATTCAGCTTTCCATCTTTAAACAGACACTTCTGTTTGCTGACCCCAGCAGCCTAGGAAACAGACCCTTTGTTTCTCTTAAAAACAGTTTTTGAGACATCACCCAAAAGGAAAATTACAGACCAATATCCCTCATGAATATAGATGCAAAAATCTTCAACAAAATCCTAGCCAATAGACTCCAACAGCATATCAAGAAAATCATTCATCATGACCAAGTGGGGTTCATACCAGGTATGCAGGGATGGTTCAACATTAGAAAAA